TCATTACCCTTAAGTTCTCTCATGATTAAGATACTATATTAATCAATCAATCTCCAACAAATTACCATGATTAAAGTCGGGAACTGTATAGATGGTGAGAAGACACTGCAAGACAAGAGATATTTTCTCTACCACAGGGAATTAGTTGGCTCTTTCATTTCAAAGGACATAGTTTCTTCCTGCATCTCTGCCACAGTGTGTTTGCTAATAGTGTCTATTTGTTTTCTTGTATTGCAGTTTGGAAGTAGTAGCATGCTTGACAGTTGGGAAGAGAATTTAGGTATAATAACTGCTAACAGAACTACAGATGATGAACTTGTGATTACACATCTTGGAGATTGCATGTGGAAAGAAAGGGGAGAGGTGGTTCTCTGCCTTGATGTAATATATTACTCCATGGAAAACTTTATTTATCATGACATTTGAGCTACTGTTATGAATCAGGTAATTGCGGCGCATATTTGCTATTTAATCGCGGATAAGAACTTTGATCCATACTCAGATAGCGCCAGACTCTGCCTTGTCGGATCGGATCATTGGAAATATCCTCGAACTTACGCAAGTCCAGAGGCTATACAGGTGATTTTTTCCACTATGGTTTAGTTATCATCATACTAGCCGGAAGATTGTATTTTGAGCATATAATAAATACCCCCCATGTTTCTCAAATATGTGTTGCGTAGATAATCCAACGAAATAAATGGAGGACACTGTTCTTCTTGTTACTTATTTGATATTTTCTTGATTTTGTTGGTTGATTTTTGCATGGGCAGAGAACAGAAATATATGAATACTCTAAGACGCTCGGAAACTCTCAGTATATCCTGTTACCGTTTCAACCATACAAAATCATCTATGCCCATATGCTGGCTGAAGTTGGCAAACTTTCAGCTGCACAGAAGTAAGAATATTCACTTTCCATCATCTACTCCTTGGTTAGACTGTATATGGTATACTGATGTCGTTTCTGCTGTTGATAAATCAGGTACTGTCAAGCAGTTTTAAAATGCCTAAAGACTGGCCGATCACCTGAAGTGGAAGCATGGAAACAGTTTGTTGTATCTCTTGAAGAGAGAATCCGTATCCACCAACAGGTACAGCCCACACAACTTATGGTTCCAATAGACTTTACATAGAACTGTTGATTTTTCCGGTGGTTAACATCTGCTAGCTGTCTACTCCTTTAAACGGAAATGTAAAATAAAATTTACATTTGTGATATATCCATAAAACTGGGAACAATCTAAAGCTTGTTATTTTCTTAATTATCCAACTTAACTGGACATTCCTATTTCAGGGTGGGTATACTGTGAATTTGGCCCCAGCAAAACTTGTAGGAAAGCTGCTAAACTTTTTTGATAGTACGGCACATCGTGTTGTTGGGGGAACGCCCCCACTTGCACCACATTCAACAACAGGAAACCTACAGGCAAATGAGTATCATCATCAACAGCAGGAAGCCACTAAGTTACCATATAGTCAGTCGGTTAATACAATGTCATCATTGATGGCACCTGCTTCAATGGAACCCGCACATGAGTCGGGTGGGAATGGGAGGAGGATGGCAGTACATACTAGAAGTGTATCAGAGCCAGATTTCGGTAGGACACCAATACAGGTAGCTCTATACTGAAACCATTATCACCGCCGAGAATATTTTGAAATATGGAATTTGTAAATGGTTTGCCTTTTTTGTAGGATCTGGCTGACTCCTCGAAAGAAAAGGCTGAAGACGGGTTGAAATCATCTGGGACTGTGACAGGTTCTCGGTTTGGTCGCTTTGGTTTTGGCATGCTGAAAGACACCGTTGGGAGGGTCTTGCAAGTTCGGTCATCCAAAGAGGTACACTACTAAATGCTTTGGTCTTGATAAAGTCTTCCTGAACTTAAAACTAATTGGTTTGGATCATGCTTTGGGTTAAGGCAAAATTGGGCGCAGAAAATAAATTCTACTATGACGACAAACTGAAGAGATGGGTAGAGAAAGGTGTGGAACCCCCAGCTGAGGAAGCTGCACTGGCTCCTCCTCCAACAATAGGCACATTCAAAAATAACTCGTTGGGTTATGAAAATAAATCTGACATGAATCCATCAAATGATAACTGGAATTCTGGCGGCCCAACTCCATCAGATAATTCTTCAGGACTCCCACCAGTCTCACAGGGCTCGAACCAATTCTCAGCTCGTGGACGTATGGGTGTGCGGGCAAGGTAAACAAATAGCTTGAGGCACTGTAGAATTATAATCTGCGTAGATTATCTTGGATTCTAAATCTTGAGCGCATCGGTAGTGTCACATTAGAACCTTTGGTTTACTACTAGGAAAGGTATAAAACATGATGCATTCGGTATGAGATAGGCATAATTTCTTGGTTGCAGATTTTAGTTGCAACTTTTCAAGTGATTGTTTTCTTGGACTCACCCTGCGCCTCTGTAGATGAAGTGCATGCTTCGAGTTAAACATTTACTCTCTTTTGGGGCAGATACGTTGACACCTTTAATCAAGGCCGAGGAAACGCTCAGACCATGTTTCAGTATCCTTCCCTACAATCTCCTAAACCACCAATCCCTGCAAAAGCAAAATTCTTCATTCCAGCAACACCTGTATCGTCTTCAAACGACCAGGTAATGGAACCGGCTGCTGCGGAAACCAGACAGGAGGAGAACTCGGCAGATGAAGTAGTAGCCTCTTCTTCAGGGGCTCCACCACCAGCGATGATGCAGAGACATCCAAGTATGGATAACATCAAAAGAAATGGATTGGGAATAAGCGTAAACGGGGATCATGCTCCTCCTGCTTCCAGAAGAACAGCTTCATGGAGCGGAAACTTCAACACCTCGTTTACACCTCCAACTGGTCCTTCAACTTTCAAACCAATCCTACTCAACAGTAGCTTAGGAGAGGAGCTTCAGGAAGTGGAACTGTAAGTCAGCCGGAGACTGAAACTTCACGATGTTTTGGTCAGTGTCGCTGGTAGGAAAGCTCACTGAAACATAAACCAATTCCACGAGGGAATCATGGAGCGTAGGGAGCCTTCTTCTTCAATGATAGTGGCAGGTAATATAATTGCACATTGTATAGATCATTGATTGGTTCATTTGGGTTTTGAGAATGGAACCAAAACTTGTCTTCAGGAGAGTTGCAAAACTGTACCTTTTTCGTTAAATATAGCATAAGGTCAAACCTCATGACCAAATTTTCA